TTCTCTCTCCTTTATTTACAGTTGTTACATATGTTTATTTGGACCTTTGTTCAGTTGTCCTTCTAATAATTTTCATATGAAATTCCTTGAAGAATATACATGTAATGTTTGAAATGTACAGTGCAAATACCACATATTTTTCTTACCAAATACGTCTTGGCATCGTTCCATCAAAACATACTATTACACGCCAAAAATGTTGCGGCAGAGAGATATTCCTTTCCTAATAAATGTAAAATTTCAGTGACACTGCTGAAAAATGTTAAGATTGTAGAAATGAAAAGTCCGCCAGTCCACAAATCTCACCCATCCATTTAAATTCAACTGCGAAATTCCTTCAACAAGTGATTACAAAGAGGATAGCTATATAGCAGGGTTCTTGGGTAGTGTACATTATTTCGGAGTGAATTTGTTGGCAAGTAATAATCGGCAGTCGCTTAGTACAATTTGTAACCTTCACTATCGCTGGCATTGTAGTTCACCACCGTTTCTAGTAATGTCTTGATGACAAAGCTCGCTACGAAGGATAAATTTATACGGAATGGTTTTAACTTGGGAAGGGTTGGCCATATACGAGTGCCAGTTGTTTTGGCCTTTTCTAAATTTGGGGATCATGTCAACCAGCTGGCTTGATAGAGCCGGATGTATAGAGTTTTCATTCTCAGCGTTTTCGCGAATAAAAGCCCGGTTCTTTAGGATAGGGTGAGAGGTGAAAAATCTTCTATTTCCACTTTCACTAATAATTCTAGGATGAGTTGGTTAGGCAGTGCACCTAGCTCTTGGATAATAATTATTTGTGCGCATGATTAGATGTTGGTCTGACATGTTCTTAATATTATCAGTCTTACAACTTGGAGAGGCTAGGTGCACATCACATGACATTAAAGGAGTGAACCTGTTCATCGTAGTTGGGAAAGTCGGTGGCAATCGGGTTTGAATCCTACATATTTTTATACTTGAGACCCAAGATTCAATCAGGTCGCTCTTCTTAGTTAAAGACGGAGAATGTTTTGGTCCCCTAGACGTGTTTTTCAAAAACACGTCTGTTTCTATCGTATTCTCTCGTGCAATATATTTTGGGGATGGATTCTTAATTTTATTAGTTTTAGCTGGAACAGTGTTGTTTTTTGGGACATTTTCAGTCAAGTTAACGTTCGAAAAGCTGGGATTAGGACTGCAAGGGTCGTTCGATTTCTTGGTGACAGAGGGGATCCGTACTTTTTTAGAAGGCTTACAGTCCACAGGCTCATCAAGATCTACATCGTGGTTTATTTGTTTATTTACTTTCATGACATTGAGGGTTATTTTCTGTAGATTGTCTGCTGTCTCGCCGTTATGTGATCTAGTCGCCTCTCTTGTTTTCATACGATGTTGACAAGGCGTTAGATCCGGGGTAACCTTTACTTCTTTGTGTAAGTTTGATGAGCTAATATTTTTGCTCAAACGGATAAATTGTTTGGCGTCGTTGCAGCATCCGAATTCGAAAAGGAGAGGGCGAGTTGATTTGTCCGATTTTTTTCCGAGGCGAGTGACGTAACAGGTGACGTTTGCCATATCACACGCTTTTAGACAGGTATCCTTTAGCGAATTCAAGGATGTGTGGTCGGGGAGGTGATATGCAATCGCATTGCAGGAAGACATTATTCTTTTCGTAACCTCCTCAGCTATAAAATCTAGGATATATTCCGCTTTGGCTAATTCTTCTAGGTTCCTATCATTATTCGGGGCCCATAAGTTCATGAGGGGGGCTAACAGGCTAAGCTTATCGTTAATTTGGGCAAGTGAGTTTTGTAACTGTCGTATCTCGCTGCCATGATTATTACTACTATTAAGGGTTATGGATGGAGCATTCAACTCCTTGGTTTGTGAATTTCCAGATTTAGGCTTTACAAGATTATGTTGAAGTTTTTTCCGTGTAGAAGTTTCGGTATATTTGGGTATAGTATCTTTTATATCTACGAGTTTTACTATTGGAATACATAGTAAAGATTCATCTGACATAGGGTTTGCAGATTTTGATCTTTTGGATGGTTTAAAAGTTGGAGACATTTCTCTTTTACTCGAATTATTTGTCATAATGGAAAATTGGGTGGGATAATTGCTTGTCTAAGTAACTCAAATATCTAAGGGTAAAACTTATTGTGTAGTAACTGTGTCAATAAAAAAAATCAGTGGCGGATTTTTTAGATAAGAGGTTCAGTTATGAAGTGTAAGAGTCACTGTAAGTAGGCTTAAACAAGTGTATTCAGAAGTTAAAATCGTTACCAAACGATAAGTATGTATTAACCGATTAAAAACTTAGAGGGTTTGTTTTCTAGAAGCAAAGTGCACCGGGTACAATAGATAAATTCTACTAAATCAGTGTAATACTCACCACAGTGCCAGCAAGGCATAAAAGGATTCGTTTTTGTCTTCCGGACAGAGCTGGAGTTGGAGTGACTGGGTGTAGCACAGACACATTTATTCCAGCAAAGTGTCTGTTACACTACTCGTACTTCATATTGACTAGACCTACCACTCTGAACCATAGTCGTGTCGAGCTGCAGATTAATTAATCGTTGATATTCATTGGCAGTGTCACTAACGGTGAGTTTTGGATATTGATCTGATGGACACAGTAGTCGTGTTCTTATGTCACTGGACCTTTTGGGAGTGGAGGCTGCAAATGAGAATCAGGGCTTTAAACTGGTCTTCAGTCAAAGATCGAAGCGTTCGAATTCACGATTGACGACGCCCACATGCATAGGAAAATCATCGTCTCCGCTCACAATTAGTTTCGTACATCGATAACGAATAAAAAACAATAAGGACTTGTCGCCGAACTGTTGGCTTAATGACTGGACTGTCTAAGAATGAACGATCACGTGTGTTCGAGTTTAAAAGAGAATTACAGTAATTGTCCAGCTCACTTGCATCCAACTTTCTAAGTAGTGACCGAACCTTCCGAGCATAATCCTGATTAGCAAAATCAAATTAGCAAATCAAATCCATAACTCCGGAACCACATGTTAATAGTAACGTTAGCACCCGGATCATAATGAAACTCAGCAATACTATTTGCGATTCCATCTACTGTGCTGTGATCGAATTATATGTGCTAGGCTATGTGGAAGGCGAAATCTTGGTCTCTGTCAGCATCTACAATAATTTCAGGTAATAAATCAAGTTTAGAAGGATCCATGTTTTAAAAACCCCGGTCGCCAGTTGATATGCTTTAAACTAATAGGAGTTCACCTCACTCGGTAAACGGAACAAAGATGAAGGATTCAGTGACACAGTAGGCTATTCTAATCCGATTGTCCCAGGCCCTGATAACTAGATCAAGAAGTCCAAATACGGCGTAGATAATGTATTCTACAGGCATCCAGAAAATACGAGGTTGCTAAGCACTAAACTCAAGTTTATCCATACACTGATAGAAATGCATTTCGGAGAGCCTCAACAGATGATAGTCAAGGATTTACGGAGATGGAACTGTAAGCGGATTGTAAACTAAGCGTTTTTGGTGCGAAAACGTGGAAATTCAAAACCTCAGAATAAAATTACAAAATTAGGACCTTTTGTAGGTAAGTTCTGGGGATCTACAACTACAACAAATACACATACCAATAATGAAAAACGCGCTGCTTTCTGAACTGTAGATAAACAACAGTTAAACTGAATACTCAGAATTACTTTCATTTTAAAATGCTTGTCACGTTCGACAGTTTATTCGTGAGTCTAAGGTAAACTATATGTATTTGATAATATTTCCCACAGATATGTGATTAAGTTTCACACGCGTCGATCTCAGATTCGCCTTAGCAGTATACATTTTTGAAATCTCTTGTATGGTTAAAACAAAACACAAAACATAACTACAGACTAATTAATTGGTATTGCTCGTTCGAATCTTCTCATTAATGTTTAAGATTGCAATTGATTAGTTGCTGTGCCATAGGTGAATTCAGTGGCGATTGCCTCGATATTACCTTCAGGTTATAAGCATTACCAGGAGAGGCGGATAGTAGCTAGCCATAGAATCCAAGACACGCGTTTCGTCTTATTCGATAGTCGCCAGCTGGGTGTGCCTGTATCTCAGAGTTGATATTTGCTACGGGGCTATAACTCAATAGTTTACATTTCAATCTATGAGCCTTATCAAACAAGCAATGATACAGAACCATTATTCACCCTATTGCATAAGCGAGTGCCCATCTGGACTCATTTTCTAAGTGGGTAAGTAGATGTCATATGAAGCTCGAAGTACAGGGTTCAAGTCTCGGAGTGAACATCAACCCTGAGAAGGAGTCACATCCAGATGAAGAGTCCCGAACGTGACGAGGAGCGATATTTGGGTTTCACAATTAACTATTATCTACATCTGTTAATAACACCTGCAAACTAACTTGGGAATAGTTACGACCTACTTCTAACTACTCCAAAGTAGCACGATTAGATTAGGAAGTGTCATATAGCAAAGCCAAACATGTGAGATTAAAACATTGATGCCATGAAGATTTTGAAAACGAAATTAGAAACTATCTAGAAAGTTTTTCCTTAAAACCCTCATATTTTCATAGGAAGAACAGGAAATTGCTCTCTGTGGAATATGAAAACATAGTATGTTCAACCTGTCTGTACCGTTATCAGTGGTCATTGGAATCATGCTTCTGAACTACCCACTGAAACATTTAATTCGGCAAAATTTCTCACTCGTATTTTGGGATGATAGAACCTAGTGGGATATTGCATAGTTGTAACCTTTCGCTTTTTGATAATGGAGAGTCACACCTGTTATTTTCAACTTATGGGAAGAAGATTAAACAACGGAGTAATTTTTGAAGGCGATAGTCAGATATTTTTGAGATACAGAAGGTGTTTCTGTTTGAATGTATCTCAGTTTTGTGAAAAAATTAGTTGAGTCGTCCCGGAATAACAATAATCGAGCTCAAATAAATCAATTGGTTACACTAGCTTGTCTTAAAGATATTGGATATTGGAAGGTCATCCGTCGATGTCTTTGGCGCTTGTGTTTGGACGGGTTTACGCTGCATCGAGGTTCCTGGCGTCACACAACGTCTCCTTAAGCTATATAGAATCATCTCATTTGCTTTACAATGTGCCTCTACTATACTAGGATGACTTAGGGATCGTAACTATATGAAATGCATGTAATAAACTTGTAACATAATGCATTATTTAAATTGGCTTAGTTCTTTTTGCACGTACTCTTGCCATTTTTACTACATGTAAAACGCTTATCACAAGAACGTAAAAGGTTTGAGTATTTTCCACTTTTCTTATGTGACTGGACGGAATGGACTCACTTATTAGCTGCTATGTTGACTCGCTTCAGATCCTGCCTTTAGAAATCCAGTCTAGGATAACCGAATACCTACAGTCAGATCTACAAAAACGTCACTTATTGTCACTAGCTAAACGCACTGTGGACAAAATTCAAGAATCTGTGGGACATGATATCAAGAAGAAGCATTTGGATCAGCTCATACTTATCTTAGTCGCGGTACAAAACATATGTGATCGTAGAATTAGTGATCTAGATGAAGTAAGTCTGAAAATTTTTTTATAACCACATGACATATTTCTAAAAATTACCATGCAATCTTTATAACACCCATGCTAAGTGGTTTTATTATCAGCTTGTCAATTATGTATAGACACGTATACTGGGCTCTTAATGATTCAGTATGTGAGTTGGTAATATTTCTGGGTTTCGTCCGCTAGTAGTTAAAGTGAGGATTAGATCAGCGCTCAGTCGACCGAACGTCGAGTACGTGTTTAACATATGTCCAACCGCTGACTACCTCGACGAATGATGTTTTGTGGTGAAGTAGGTTGGAAGAATGTGCAAATCCATTAAGTCACTAACAAGTGGACTGATTCATGTCAGTAGAAGTAGACTATCTGATCGGGGCTCGTGAGATGGTAGTAGTCGATGGTTAGAGTACGTGAATCTCGACCATAGCTGCTACCTTGACGTGGTGGTTCAACTTGCCTATCGTGATGACCCAGTCGAGCTATGTTTACTGGAACATACGTTCCTGAAGGTTCTGCCATGTCAGACAGGTCGACTGGAGAACCATGAGACTAAAAGCAGCAACTCAAGGTCTGAGGGAGAAGTTGTACTGCTGACTGTAGAAGGGTGTGACGGCAGTAAGGTGTTTCCCTCGGACAACCAGCATCTGCAACGATGCTGCCTTCTCACAAAGGAGGGGTTGGAAAAGGATGACCCTAAGAATGTCACACCCTACCTGACCTCACGGATTCCCGTCTCCGACTATAATGGCTTTCAACAAGAGTGGAGCTAACATTTTAAAAGCTTCTTATACAAACGCCGAGCGTGACTGGCCTCAAGCAGCTATCCCTTGTGCTCTGAGGTCATGATCCCAGGTCTCTTAGGCCACCTCTAATCTACCTTCCTTTTCAGATTCCTCAAGAAACACCCTTCCTTGGTGTAGGCAGCCGGAAAGTAACATCCGCCGTCGTACCCATAAAAGCACATGAGACCGCATTGGTCACAACCAAATCCTTTCTACAGCTCTTAATAACTCTCTAATCTCGAACAACCCTTCTTTCGATCGTTTATCACTTCACACCGCTGAAGCAAACGGTATGAGCTCTCGAAACACTATTCCTGGTCTCTTGAAACCCCGTACTAAATTACATATAGGAGCTTTTAATGTTCGGACCCTATACCAAATAGGGCAACAGGCTTCATTAGCTGGAACTCTGGAATTATAGAAACCTCTGATATAGTAATAATGGCTGGTGATTTTAAAGCTCAATTAGGTAGACTCAGCGAAAAAGAAAGACACCTGGGTGGATCTTATGGTGTCGCGGCTCAGAGAACAGATAAAGGCGATCGTCTGTTGCAACTATGTTCAGATAACCGCCTATTCCTAGCAAACACTAACTTTGGCCAATATTAATTGGAAGGTCCTTGGATACTGCTTCGATGTTGGGTATGTTCAGTGGAGCTGGTCGATTTAAGAGTTCCTGAAAAGGCTCTACCCACCTATTTCGCTGTTCTTCAGTGTTGCTGATTACTTTGCCTTCCTTGCTTTTTACTGGTCGTTCTGGTTAACGATAGTTTCCGGCGAGCTTCTTTGTTATCTCGTACAATTGTCTCAAGTTTCCGTCTCTTGCAGCCTTTTCCGCCGTCATAGCTAGATCTTCCACATATTTTCGTTTGTCACCTCTGATACTCTTCTTCACTTCCCTGTTTGCTTCTGTGTATGCAGCTTGTGCGTTAAGGTTCTCTGCTGTCGTTCGGCTGACATTGATTTCTGCCGTCTTGTTCCTCCTTTCTTCAATTTTTTCAAGAGTACCAACAGACATCCAATCTTTGTGATGGTACTTCTTGTGATCCAGAACTTCGTGACATGTTGAAGTGATTGCGTCCTCGATCCCTTTCCAATTGTTCTCCAATGTTGCTTCCTCTCCATTGAGTATATTGTGCAAGGCTTGGAACCTATTAGTGAGGGCTATTTTGAATTCGTTGAGTTTTACGGTATCCCGAAGAAAGGCTGTATTAAACTTCTGTGATGTTGTCTTCCCCGTTGTCCAGTGCTTCTTTAGTTTCAGTTTCATTTTAGCGATCAGCAAGTGGTGATCTGAGGCTATATCAGCTCCTCTCTTGGTTCTCACATCCTTCATGGTCCTTTTGAACGTTTTGTTGATACAGATATGGTCAACTTGGTTTTGAGTAGTGTGGTCCGGTGAAATCCATATGGCTTTATCAATGCGTTTGTGCGGTAATATTGTGTCACCGATGACCAGTTTGTTGAAGGCACATAGGTTTGCAAATCTCTCACCGTTTTCGTTCCTTTCTCCCAGTCCATGTCGTCCCATGATGTTTTCATATCCAGGGTTGTTCATTCCAACCTGGGCATTCAGGTTTCCCATAAGAATCGTCAAATCGTTTGGTGAACATTTCTCGACGATTGACTGCAGCCTTTCGTAGAATTGATCTTTAACGTCGTCATTGTAGTCATTGGTAGGTGCATAACATTGGATGACGTTCATTGTAATGTCCTCTTTCTTTGTTTTGAAGGATGCTTTAATGATCCTGGGTCTATGAGATTCCCATCTTATCAGTGCCTTTTGTGCATGTTTGGACAGCATCAGTGCAACTCCTTTTGTATGTGAAACGTTTTCCTCTTCATGACCAGAGTATGACAGCAGTTGCCCTGAAGCTAGTCTCAGTTGTCCTACTTGTGTCCAGTGCGTTTCACTGATGCCGAGCACCTCGAGGTTGTATCTTTTCATTTCTGCCGCAACTTGAAATAGTCTTCCAGTCTCCCGCAATGTGCGAACGTTCCATGTACCTAAAAGAATGGTTGCTCTGGTTGTCAGAAGAGGCATTGGCCCCGTGACTTCCGAGGGAACTCGGCTTTCATCACGCGACGTCATAATTCTTCCTGTAACTCCCAGGGCAGAGTTAAAATGGTTTGAATTATTTTTTCTGGTTAGCGTTTTTTTGGCAAGTGAGATTTCAACGGAATGGGGTCGCCAACCCCATGTCCAACCCTCCTTTATCCGGGCTTGGGACCAGCAGTAGCCCCTAAGGTTCTACTGGCGGAGTTAGGAGGCTCGCTTATATGTCGATGACATAGTCCTACTTGGTGAAGACTCTGACAAAATGCAGAGTCTTCTGACTACCCTGAGCAACAATGCAAGCATGTTCGGGATGCGGTTTTCACCCTCGAAACGCAAAATGTTCCCTCAAGATTGGGTTGCATCGGCGCCTGAACTAGTGATAGGGAGTGAAGCAGTTGAGCGTGTCGACCGCTTCACTTATCTGGTTAGTCTCGTCAGGGCTGATGGTCTGGTGACTGACGAAATCTCAGCACGGAAAGGAGGCTCGATTGGCTTTTGCCAACCTGCGTCATTTATGGCGAAGGTGAGATATCCGTTTGCTGACTAAAGGACGAGTGTACTGTGCAGCAGTTCGCTCCGTTCTCCTATATGGCTGTGAAACATGGCCGGTGAGAGTAGAAGATATTCGTAGGCTACTGGTTTTCGATTATAGGTGTCTTCGAAGCTTTGCTCGCGTATCGTGGGACAGCCGAGTAAGCAATGCTGTTGTTAGGAAACGGTTGCGAGGTAAGGATGGTAGGTCAACGGATGAAGTAGTGAAACATCATCGGTTGAGGGGGTTAAGACATGTGTTGCGTATGCCTAACCACCGACTGACTCGTCGAGCAATGTTTTACGATGTAGGAATAGGTTGGACGAAAGCTAGTGGTGGCCAAACCAAAACATGGCAGCTATCCATGAAGTCACTGACAAGTGAACTGAGTCGTGTTGGTAGGTTTCAACTACCTGGTTAGTGTCTGCGAGATGATAGTAATCGATCAGTAGAGACCCTGAGTAACATGGCTCAAAACCGTTTGCAATGGCGCAGGTGCATGCACTCTTTGTGTTCTCTCAGATCCCAAACTTTTTAATTCCTGATCACTTTATCTCTTTCTCTTTTAGTCTGTTTCACGAGTTTGTACTTCTTGAATAATATCTTCTAATTCTCACCTCTCAGACTACTGTTTATAGCTCTACTACTATTGGATTCGAATTGACAATTACATCTCTGTGCTAATGTGGTATAGCAACATGAACTGATGTACGTATGTACGAAGCTCTATGTTGCTATTGGTTGATTGATTTTAGTGTAACTTCAGTTCTGGTGGTTGGACCTGTGTTCCAAATTCCTAGCCACTGACTTTCTCGTTGAGCTATGCTTTGCGATGTAGGAATAGGTAGGAAGAAACCTTGGGGCAGGAAATTTAAAACATGAAGGAAATCCATGAAGGCACTGACAGGTGGACTGAGTCATGTTAACAGATGTTAACGACCTGGTCGGGGCCCGCGAGATCGTAGTAATCGATGCTTGGATATCTTGAATGACATTGCTGCATACTGTTTGCAACAGCGCAGGTGCATCCATTCTTTGTGTTCTCACAAATCCTAATCTTCTGAATTCCTCGTGATCGTTTTATCTCTTTTTATAATCGGTCACCCTGGTGTATACATCTCGAATGATTTATTCGATCATTAATCTTTTTGATTACTACTTATACTACTATCTATACCACTATGTGATTTGAATTTACAATTACCTCTCTGTGTCAACTTTATATGGCTACTTGGACTGATGTACACAAGTGCAAAGTTCTACGCGTTAACTGACTGACACAATGTCTATTGAAATTAGATTTCTCTCCTAAAATCTACTGATTATCTTATTCAATAAACAATTACTTTTACTGTGCATTACGGTTTAATTAAAGCTCAAACACTGCATATTACACACTATATTTGTGCGGATATTGAAATGGCCTTATTCATTCCTTCTGCTTCCACTTCAATAAACAGTCATAACCCCTTTTACTAAATTTATGGATGTGATGTCAACTTGATCTTGATACACATCAATTTAAGAACGTAACCTATAATGACTAGTTCAGTGACATGTTCACTGCTTTTCTCAGCGGTCTATTATTCCTCATATTAACTAATTGTTTCCTGAGAATGTGTGGAAGTGTTTTACACTTCTGAATTGTCAAAAAGTTAATAACTTCATTCGGTTTGATATGCCAATAATCATTAACTGCCACGTATAACTTTTTAAATCTGCGGAAATTGCGAAATTTAGTTTTTTTTTTAATAACAAAACGACATTTCCATTATTGATGTTGCAATCAGCCTTTTAAACCATTTAAATTTTATTTTGAAAATTTTACAGTTAGATGAAGTAATCGAAACCCACTCTTTGAAGCTAATGAATGCTAAAATGAAAGTTGATACAAATGATCCGCAACGTTCCCACCTAAATACGGAAAATGTCCCTGAAAGTGAAATCAACTCCGGCAACTTAGAAGTGTCTAATACTCAGTATAATGGTAATTTATTACGGCGCAACTCAGCTCAGGAGTCGAGTTACGATAAGTGCATTAGCTACCCTATACCAAACGCACGATGCAATGATATGAACTTTCGAGGTAAAGAACGTTTCCCATTACGCGCTGTTAGCACTAATAGTCGGAATGCATCACGTCGCTCACTAAACAGGTGGGTTCCGGGCGTTCATCGTTTCAAATCTGTTTATTCAGTTAGCAGTACCAACGGTGATAATTCTTTGAATTCGAAAGGTGATTCGAACAATAAATCAACAAGTAAAACTTCAGTAGATCTAAAACAGCATAAAGTAGGTGTTGCGTACAATCGTTACTCTCGAACCCAACAACAGCGATTCAAAAGTCGTGTATTGTCAAGACCGCTTCATTCAAATCGTGTGAGACCTCAGTACCTAGAGTATGCTACGATAAGACATGGGTCTCGAAGAAGGAAAAACACAGTGTCAAAATATACCAATCCCGAATCTTTCCGCAATTATGAGGAAGCAAATCTCGTAGGTAGTTTAAAACGTCGACAGGAACAAAGCCATTCCAATTCCTATAAAAACGACAATTATTTTGGTTCATCTAACAAAGCGGTAAATGAGTTAGCTACTGAGGATAAAATAGAAGAGAGAGATGCTTACGCCTTACTTAGTTTAAAGAGCCCAAAGAGGTTGGGAGATAGGTCATCCGATTGGAATGCCGGTTACAATGAAAATGAAAATCTGATTGATATAGACTGCAGTAATAGTAATAGTCATGGCACATATGATATGGGACGTGATCCAAGTTGTTCTTCACAGGAAACGCAAGTCATCAGAACACTAACTAACCAACTAACTAATGCCCAAAACGGTCAAACAAGTCGTCAAAAGATGTACAGGCTTCGAAGAGCTAGTAACAATGTACAGTCATATCACCGATCCGATTCCTCTTTTCCACCCGCATCACCAGAATACGGAGCTAATCGCAGTTGTTTAACACCTCAGATTCTTACCCACAGTAACACCAGGCGAGGATGTCGAAGTAATAACACTGCGCGCCACAAAATAGATTCTCAAACGAACATACGATCTCCTCCAGGGAGTCCATTTAGGTATGGGTCACACGCTGATGATATGAATTCATTTCGACACAAAGTTATTTCAGAAAACAGCCCTAGTCATAGTATAAGCGAAGCGAGTGTCAGCCCGGATGAGCGTCTGTATTGCGTATGTCAAAAAGTATCATTTGGCGATATGATAGCCTGTGACAACAGGTTCTGTGAGGTTGAATGGTTCCATTTCTCATGTGTAGATGTCCGAGTTCAGCCTAAAGGTAAATGGTATTGCCCTTACTGTCGCGGAGAGTCTTCAAAAATAAAAAGATCTGACATTTAACATCGTCTTTATCCCCTGAAATACAGATTTTGGAAAAGTCAAATCTTGAATGCTGATGCATAATTATTATTGTTTTTTCAAATAATACTATAAATTTAGTTTTTCCAAACCTTCTATAACTTTTCTGGTTTCCAGTAATTTGGAACGAGCTTTTTGGTATGCTTCTGAATAGTGAGTGAACAAGTATATTAAGTTTAACCTACTTATTATCGTTGAAACATCCATGTGTGCAAGTGCTGCCCTGTAAAAATATTGTTTATTAGTCTTTAAAGATAACCTACCTTTGCTTTTCATCACCTGTTATTGTACATCTGTTCACCGCCCTGTATAAATTAGACCTACACGTAAAAAGAAATTCAGCTTAGTTCTTTTCGTCCTTCGAGCTGTTACTTACTGTCGAGTGTATGGTAAATGAATCGTATCATATCAGTTAGGTAATGAGTCAGTTCAACTACTAGAACCACTGTCCGAACAGTAGGTAGCGTAGTAAATCGAGTGACCAAATAGTAAGTTTTTATCGACCAAAATGGTTAGGACAAGTGTTACGTATCCCCAAACACCGCCGACTTCGATGGGAATTAATGACTAATTTAGGATTAAGCTGGAAGGAAGCCACTAGTAGTAAGGATGAGCCTTAATAATAGGTCCCGTTTCGGTTTGAACAGTTTCTCAACACATTCGCTAAATTCAATTATTTGTGCGGTGCACCGCCAATGTCTATGCCTTCAAATAAGTAGTGTTAATGGATGTAGACTACTCCGTGTAGTTATTGTCAATAATAGTTAGAGACTAGATGACAGCTCCAAACCGTTTGCAATGCCAGTGATGTATTTATTCTTTATTCGCTAGAACCAGAGTCCCGAAATCACTCAGTAACTTTTTTCTAGACGAAATCTATTTTACTACTGTGGGATTTGTCTTGATAATTCTATCTAATGCGGTATGTCAACCTAAACTGTCAGGTTCAGCCTTACACAAGACAGAATAATGCATGGAGCTGCTGATACGGTCGAACAGTAAACTCTGTCTGTATCGATTTGTGTAAAGTGTAATCGACCTGTTTGGTACCACGTGTTATTTTTATCTGAACATAATATTATTATTATGGGTCACCTAAACATTTGAGCGCCACACAAAGTATTCAATCTTTGTGTTGGCGTGGATACTGCTGAAACAAGCACGGGCTTTTTATAGTAGGCCGCTCCCTTTAACTTGAAGTTTTTGTCCATGAAGCAGTGGAGCAACGTCAGGAGACGCAGTTCCATGGTAGCTGGTGACCAAGAATCGGTTCATACACCATCATTTATTAGAGCCGATTTACAACATTTACTTTGGACCAAAGTTTTTTATCTCCTTCGTACTCACTAACCCAGTTTAAGCCCCAGGTATCGGCTTACCGTTCTCGCAATTTTGTTAAGAATATCTCTGCTACGAAAAGGCGGTGAGCATGACGTGTTTGATGGTCTGTATGAGAGCGTCTCGAGAAGAAGAGTGGACTCTTCCCACTTTCGACTGTGCTAGGGCATTCGACGGTATTACTGAATTCATTTCTATCTGTTAGTCGATTCTTCATTATCGTGCACTACACCATATGCTTGAAGGCAATTAAAGCTCATGATAAATCTCAGCCGATGAGATCCATATAATGAACAACAGGATTCGTTGTTACCTTCAATGTAACGCTGTTTTTCGCCAAATGCCTTCGTTCATTTAATCCTTGTCATATACTTTATAAGTTATTCAACACCGCGTTCTTCGCATTTAACATCTTACCTATGTCAAAAGTCGATCAAAAGCAGGCATCGTTGACTCGTATCAGAACTACAGGTGATGATATTATGGAAGATACATATCATTTATTCTACTCTTTTACTATCACAAAGATCACCTACCTATTAACTGCATATTTAATGGTGATTAGTTTTTCCATACAATTTCAATTAATAAAGGACTTGGGCATTTTCTGAATTCATCTATTATAGTTGAACTGATCTTGAAACAGATACCCCGAGAACGCACGTTGTTTCACTCTTAGTAAAATTCGTAGTGCGCCCTGTCCTTAAAGTGTGACGGGGGAAAAGTCTCGTTAACTTCAGTGAGTTCCTTAGAAGCAGATAAAAAAACGTATGGATCACTGGCTTTTGTACTAGCTGCTATTTGTCTTATAGGACACCAATGGTTTTATCGAGGCTAGAAAGTAGAGCAGTTTTGCTTGAGAACAAACAGGCGCCATTGGATATTGAGCTAAGAGGATCACAGCAGTTGTAAGGATGTGTATGTAAAGTTAGTTTCCAATAATTCTGGAGCTATTTGACTACTTACCAGCTTTGAACTGCACAGTTTAGACGCAGAAATAGTTTTCCCGTGCTTCTTGATCGAAATCCATATTTCACCAGATTAGTGCTCTGGGAATGTAGAGAAAACAATTTTTGACAAACAACCCTGAATATCTACTCGTACTAAATAAATCACTTTTTAATATGTAGTAAGTGGGAAGAGCTTGTGTATTTTTCATGAGTCTATAACGGTTAAGCTGTAAATATCATCCGTGTTGATTAAGGTTGCAGTATGATAAAGACGGGCAGATAGTTTAATAAATGCTTTGTAAGCCATCTACTTCAACCAATAGTTCAACGTCTATGAGTGAATTAGACTTTAATGTCAATATAAGCTAACTTGCAACTACCTTGAGCTAAAACTGCTTTCCATTAAGGTTATGTGAGGACATTGACTATCAATTACAAAACTTCTCTTTTTGGGTTCCCACCACTTTAAAACGACATTGTCGATAATCACTTTGGATTGTGAACGTTGTCTAAATTATACCATTATTGGTGATGTGTAATGGACAAAGGTCGACTAAGTCTTATAAAAATCTACGGTACATTTTCATGATAAGATCTATGACTGCAAAAGTGAAAGCTGATGTAGGATATAACTTCAGTTTCCACGCAGTGAGCATTTATACTGGAAAAGACTGTAGCCGATCATATTATTCTATTAATAGTCTCATAAAAAATTTGGGTCATAAATTACTGATCAATTGCAGTCCTAAACATTAATGAGGCGATTCAAGAACCAATAGAAACGAATTAAGCTTCAACCCATTACACCAGTCACTAACTTTCTGGACTCAGTAATCTAGTAACGCAATAGTGTGAGTAAGATGATGGTGCTTTTCGTTCGAAAAGGAAAACTCTATTGATCAGTTCAGCTGAAGTCTCAAGTCTAAAAGAAGCCACTGTATAACCGGCAGGATTACGTATTGAGTGTATCCATAGTCATCGATCAGAGTAAACCGAAAATTTCTACCCTACAATTAGCAAATATTGAATATTAGCACAGCTTCGAGACCACTATATCCCTAAGAAATTCTCCGTATCACACTTTTCTAATTTCAAGTTATCATTTTCCGGTAAATAAGTAGTTGTTACGAGCTTCGCACTTACTTCGAATGATCCAGGTATTTTCGTAAACGTAGGGTCTTCTAGTTGGCACGTTCCTCCTGTAAAAAATCTTCTTAATTCCTCTACAACTGAATCTCCAACTGGGCGCCAACAACTCACTCCAATTGAATGAGTACCTATAAAAGTTAAGAGGGCATAATTATCTATCACACTTTTTATGTTTGAGCTCACCTAGGACCCTCATGGAAAATTCAGTTACAGTCGATATTGTGTCAAGCTTCATATGTTTGTGGTATTTCCATCCCACAACTTTTTATTAAACGAACATGCTGATTTTTTAGTTATAATGAAAAATTACCAGAGACAGCCCCATAAGGGCTGCAAAACCACTAAAACGAGCCGATTTCTGTTAGAGTGTTATCATTTTGTGGCAAGTTATATGGAGTTTTTGCTGTGTAAGAAACACGAGTGCTTCCGAGGAATAACATTATACGAATACTATTAACTAATTATCTTTATTCAAATTAACTTGATCTTGCAGTGAGATGATTTTCGACAGTCAAAGGGGTTACCGTAGACGGCCAAATGGAATTAATAAAGTCGCACATGCCGCAAACATCTGAGATCATTTTATTGTGTTTAAGTATTCAAAATTACTTATTATTTAGTACTAGAAAGGTTTTTAGTCCATATAGATGTAACTGAAATTAGTTATCTAGTCTTACCGGCAATTCGCGGAAGTTCTGTAAATCCATACCCTTCAGTTCGACTCCGAGTCCAAAAGTCTAGTGACATGACTTCAAAATACAGTGTAGGCCATATTGAGACTGATCCTTTCGTTAAGCCTAGGAGGTTTGAAATTTTTTTAATATTTGTGCAAGTAAAGTCAAAATAATTGAAAAATCACCCTTCTTATCAACTCTATGAACATACTACTCTCTATACATGTTATCGGTTTGGCGTACTAGTTATTTCTTCTGTTCTGTTTGCACTTAGTCTTGCCATAGCCTTTAAGGTTGGGAATGAATGTTCTTTTTCATTCTTGCAAAGTATTTTCCACTGATTTCCTTTCATCATATATTCCTTATTTTTTCACTGAAATGTAATGTAAATGTTTTTGTTTCAATATCATCTGCTGACAGTTTTGTACAATATACACCTATACCATATCGAATAAGGCGAGCATTGCTGATTTGTATTTACGCGATAACGGTGCTGCCATGGAATAAAAAAGTGACTTTACTTTAGTCAGTATTTTTTATATCAGTTCATAGTGAATTTCAGCCAGATTAACAGGCGGGATGTTTTAAATTCAGTATAAAATTCGTATCATATGACAAGCGTGAATTTTCGTTTAATGTGATAATTGTATTCTATATCTGATATTATTGTATATAAAAATTAGTATATAAGTGATTGCATATTGGTTCATTGACAACATGGTCTTGGGACTTGTTTGAAAACGTATTTTTGGGATATCGATAAATCTTCATTGCACTAGTCTTTCGTGTCCTTAATTTGGATTGTTTGAATCATATTGGTTACCGTTTCCAAGTATAAGCAATAGGATCTTCGAATTGCAGCGGTTCTTGATTGTCGAATAAAAGTACTAAAACCTACGGACTGAGTTATTATATACATTATCAGAGGAGATATAAAAAGTTCCTTATTTGTTAATATAACTAAACGAAATTTTAGAAAAGTATGTAACAGTTTAAAAATATTCTTTTGTATGTTAGTTAAACTTACCGATGCTTATTTCCGGTTTATATGTCAGGTCGAATTCGATCGGGTGCGAAAAAATACTTATTTTTTCCTACAAAAGATAATTTTAAAAAGTATATTAGAAGTAAAAAAACTGGCAGGGAATAATTTTTCAGTCAGTCGATGTATTTCAACCAGAATAGTAAAATTAGCATTTCACTTTTGTACAACTGCTTGCTTTACAACATATCAAACCTAGGAAATTTCCCGTTCGGATCTTCTATATATATAAGCATACCAAAATGGTTCTGTAAACGACGCTTAATTCATTAACTAATTAAAACGTGATGATTCAGTTTACATTTTAATATTAGGATAAACCAAAATATTTCATTGTTAGTGCAGTGACTCACGTTTCCATGATTTTTGACAGAGGCTATCTGAGAGCTTCCACATAACAGCCTATGATCATACGCTTTCCAGTCTAAAAAAATATGGTTTTATTGGGTATGGACTTACTTTGTGGTAATTCAAGGTAATACTGTACATACAATCCAGGATTTTCGAAGTTAGTTGCACCCACTAAAATAACTATTAAGAGATAACTTACGGATTTCTCCAGCAATAAAAAGCCTGAAACTTTGTTCATTTGGCTAACCATATATTAAAACTTTAATCAATTACCTACCATTTCAAAATGTTTACCGACAACAGCACAAAATTTGAAATACTTTCTTAGTGATATCTATGAATTGAGTTATATTTGCTTATCGGATCCACCTCTCTATCAATGTTTTTTATTTTTTCTTTATCCAGTTTTGACATTTCAAGTGAAATGTTTTCCAACGTAAAATAATAAGATCCTGTGAGGACATATATATTAGTAGCAGATTAAACCTTTTTGTTTGCTTTTTATTTTGTATTTATCGGACCCATGAGTAAAATCGGGTTTGCAACGCAACAGTCCATTAGAATCGATCGTTATCTTGCAGAGAATTTCTTCGTTGCCCACATAAAGGGGTGATAAGTTCATCACATCATCTGGAATAGAACTACTCAAATCAGCCATTATATACATTTCTTGGGTTGTTCTGGTGGGTAAGTGATTAACAAATCTACGGTAGTCAGGAGGAAACTCCAATAACATTTCATCTGATTTTAGGTGACTTCAGGTTTCGAAACTGATTAATTAGAACTTACTTTGATAGATCATCTGTTTTCAAGTGGATGTTACATCTTTGTTTTTCAGCATATGAGATACTTCCAATACCATCCACAAATATCTACAAAAATCTATAACAGAAACATTAGATACGTCGTTATCCAGTGATATTTCATCCTTATGGACATAAGTGAATAATCTTTTCGTCGGGAACCCTGAGCCTCTTCGAATATTTTTAGAATGATACGAATTCACCTGATGCGGTTCATCTCTTCATTGTAAAGTAATTGTGTTTCTGTCATACAATTCTTCCGGTCTCTGTAAAGAGCCTTTTCCTTCTACAGAGTTAGATGTGAATATTTCATAAAAACATCAAGAACATGAAGATATACATGTTAGGTATAACTAAATTGTAATAATATAATGTCAGGGAAAATAAATTTACCAAACTTGGATCGATACAAATGCTTTAGTTCTCATGTTCTCACCAAAATGTAGTGCTCCTATCATTATTATGAAACATTGATCTTTAGGATGTTGATCGTGCTCTAAAGTCATAAACGTTTGAGAGCAAAGAATAATGTAAAGTTGCGTTGATACTCCAACTTAAAACCACTGTAAAGCAGTAGGCTTTTTGTTTGTAATGAACCACCTCATTATGAAACAGTGTTATGTGCTTCCCAGCATAAAATGATATTTTTTCCGCATTTTACAGTCTTAGCTTGTCAAGTAGCTTGATTACAAAATACGTATGAAGATCTAAACATTTATAATTTTATAGCATCAAATTCAAATAAATGTGGATGTTCTTCTGTCCCAACAACTGAATGTTTCGAATGCATAGTTGAACTATCACTTCACTGTCACTTCTAAAGTTTACTTTCTTGTCCTATATAATTCAATAAGTAAACACAGAAAATACTGTATGGGATGCATCCTTTCATAGGCTTAACAAAAAGTAACTCCGCCTGTAGCCTCTCTAGGGCTACTGCCAGTCCAAAGCCATGATAAAGGGGGATGGTTGGAGAACTCACGCAGTAGAAAACTAACAGGCCAAAAAAGTGCTAATCATAAAAATCAACTCAAACCTTGTAAAATCTACCATGGGAGTTCGAAGGTGATCATTCATAAGAGTCATGAGGTGTCATAATGAATGCCGAGTTCTTTCGGAGGTCACGAGGCCGAAGCCCCTACTAAAAAACAGCCCTTACACGGTGTGAGCAGCCTGAGAGTGACAACCGCCCTTATACCCGTTAAAAGCACACGAAACCCAATCGATCATAATCCACTCATCCTTACACCTAATAACTCTCATATATCCACCCAAGGCTAACCAAAGACTTAGAGAAAAGAGTGGATTTCAGTAGCATCTACCGACATGATGGATGCTCAAAAACTCATCCTACCTGGCTCCGAGTACGATGAGGAGTGGAGTCAGTTTAAGCGCAGGCTGATATAAGACATACGCAACGACCACGAACAGTGGTGGGTGGCGAAAGCAAGGAAGATGGAAAAGGCGACCGCGATAGGTTACAGTAGACAACTATTCTGACACATCAAGGAAACCGGTATTAGGAACCCGACTATAAGTGAGACTATATCGGAAAAGGATGAGCTTATTATCCATTCTCAATGCAGGAGATTGGATCGATGGACAGAACACTTCAGGGATCAGTCCAATTGGCCTTCAGCCACACTTCGGTTGCCCACGATTTCCAGTCATCTTGAATGGCAAATGGACGCAAGTCCTCCGAATCTTTATGGAGTTGAGAAAGCTATAGAAAATCTGAAGCGAGGAAAAGCAACAGGGCTTAATAGGCTTACCCCTGAGATGTTTAAGGATGGTTGTTCAGTTTTAGCAGTTAGATTGACTGAAATCCTAAGTAGAATTTGGCAACTTGGCGTAATCCCATCTAGCTGGTTTTAATTGCCGATTGTCTCAATTTATAAGAAAGGACACAAGTCTTCTTGTGACAATCACAGAGGAATCAGTCTAACTAATATAGTATCTAAAATATTGGCCTCAATAGTACTTCGGCGCTCATGAAGAGCAGACTACAGAAAACCAGGCTGGTTTCAGACCTGGACGTAGTTGTGTATAGACCATATGTTCACACCACGAAAGGTCCTGGAACACAGACACACAGGCGTCCGACAATAGTTGTCTTCCTGTACCGTAAAGCGGCATTTGACTTCATTCATAGATGTACCAGAGAAGTACATTAACCCAATACCAGCTCTCTAATCAAACACTACTGGTCATGTGACAGCCTATAGCGAACTGTTATCGGAATTCTCTACTTCAGGCGATGTCCACTTTTTATATTCTTGTTTAACCTTTTCATAGACTTGCTTTTAGATATAATATTATCTCCGCCTGACTTTCCAGGGGTAGACCTTCTACCAGGAGATTTATTGGTTGACTTAGAATATGCCGATGGCATAGGTCTGTTTGGTTAAGACGCTGACAGAATGCAGTCTTCTGACTACCCCAAACAACAACGCAAGCATGTTCGAGATGCAGTTCTCATCCTCGAAATGCAAAATGTTGCTTCAGGATTGGCTTGCATCGGCACCTGAACTAGTGTTAGGGAGTGAAGTAGTCGAGCATGTTGACTGCTTCACTTATCTGGTGCGTCTCGTCAGGGCTGATGGTCTGGTGACTGACGAAATCTCAGCACGGAAAGGAGGGTCGATTGGCTTTAGCCAACCTGCGTCACCTGTGACGTAGGCGGATATCTGTACACTTACCAAAGGAGGAGTGTATTGCGCCACAGTTCGCTCCGCCCTACTATGCGGGTGCGGAACATAGCCAGTCAGATTAGAAGATATTCGTGTATCCTGGGAAAAATGAGTAAGCAATGCTGTTGTTAAGAAATTTGTACTAGGTAAGGATGATAGATCAATAGATGGAGTACTGAAACTTCATCAGTTGATGTGGTGGAACCCGTGTTCAGAATGCCTAACCACCGACTGCCTCGTCGAGCTATGCTTTGCGATGTAGGAATAGGTTGGAAGAACCATAGGGGCGGCCAAACCAAAACATGGCACAAATCCATAAAGTCACTAACAAGTTAACCAGTCATGACGGTAGGTGTCGACTACCTTATTGGGGTCCGCGAGATAATAGTAATCGATGGTTAGAGATCCTGAACGACATGGCTCAAAACCGTTTGCAATGGCTCAGGTGATTTCATGCTTTGTGTTCTCTCAAATTCTAACATTTAGAGTTCCTCACTACTTTTTATTTTTCTTTTTAATTTATTTCACTAGATTCTACTTCTTGAGTGTTATCTTCGAACCCTAATCTTTACGACTACTGCTAATACTTTTAATACCCCTACTACTACCATGAGATTAGAGTTTACAATTACGTCTCTGTGCCAACGTGGTATGGCAACTTGGACTGATGTACTTACGTACAAAGTTCTACGTTGTAACTGACTGAATAACTATCAAAATGTATCATTATCAAAATCAGTGCAGGCTTTGTTTAATTTTAAAGAACGAACATGGAGAAATAAAGGCGTTTCCTCCTAATCTATTACGACTTATAACTGAAAAGTTCCAGGAGTACCAAAAGTAGGGCAAGCTCACTAACATATATTTCACAGTGTGTTTGAAAATCCATAGGGTTTTAGTGCGACAAACAATTGTAAAAGCTAAATAATACAATTATATTCAACAATATCACCAAACAAGACTAAATTGCATTAATCAAGGTACTATGCAATTATGTTCGAGAAGAATTTTCTAAGTTCTAAGGGAACAAGATCGGTTTTTATTATGCCTGACTTCATTTGGCTCAAAAAATAAGATGATATCATCTCATTTCAAAATTTAGCTAGCAAATTAGATTGATTTTATACTAGAACTTGGGTTGACAATTATAAAATTAAGTAAAGTTAAATTCCAATCTTGCAAGTTGTATTTTGCATGGATATCACTGAAAGATATCATTCGAAAATTTTGGTCGTTGCCCTAACATAACAGTCCACTTTACTAATGACATTTTTACACCTGAATACACTTACTGGACTGAAAATCTTTTCCTGCCAGTGGAACACATACTCCTCTTCCAGATTCTGCTCTTCTGCCTTCGTTTGTTGACGGAATAATTTAACCCTGATTTGAGAAATTAGGCAAAGTTCCTTACCGGATGGAAAAATTTCTCAAAGGACCAGTAAGAACATAAGTTTCAGCACTAAATCTGTCCATGTGTATTTCACGCGCCAAAATAGATCTCTGTGGATACCAATACGATATGCAATATCCAATATTTTTCCTCGATCTAGTAAAACCTAAATAATCCTTATTCTTCCTTCACAGTTTCAAATATCTGTTACAAGGGATTATTGACGTGATCCTGTTTTAAAAATGCAAAAAAGATACATATTTTTGAAGAACTCTTTAGACATCCAGTATCTTTTTCACGAGCTAGTTTCTTTGTCCTCTATTCTTGTTCTTTTGGTATGGTTCCAGGTATCTCGTAATGTCCAATGAATGGGGGTATAGCCACTCGACTGTCTAATTCTAGTCAGTTGGTAGTTGGTTTTTAGTCTGTATGTCCCGTGATTTGAATGAAAACCTTTGTTTCAGGGCAGTCGGGTTTTAGGATACCAGCAGCTATCAAATTACCAGAAACTAGATCAGTTGGTTGTAACGTGAAGAATAATAGGCAGAAAATTTAGACGCTCATAAGAAGAGGATTTCAGAACTAAGTAGTATATAGATAATTCAGTTTATTAATTGGTATTGAATATCCAATTTCTTTTTCACGAGCTAGTATAAAGCTATTGAATTCTTTGCACTCGATTCTTGTTTTTCGGTACGGTTCAAGGTGTTTGGTAGTAAGAGAGGACCAAAGTGTAAGCAAGGAAGAGGAAAAGATAATAGGCTAGATAAATAAAGCTGGTGATCTGAGATGGCAACAATATCATCCAACAGGTCTCAAGACATGCATCAGGCACGGCTTGTCCACGGGGGAGGTGATAATCCGTATGAGAGTATATGATTATCAAGTCTCTTGTTAAGGATGTCCACCGAGAGGGCTGTTGTCACCTTAGTTCAGACAGCATTGCAAGATGAGACGAATCTTAAAAAGGAAAGGTGTTTACGAACCTTAGTGTCAATGTCAGAGGGTTTCAGTGTACAAATAAACCTGAAGGTGTCCTGTATACTAAAGCCAACACTAGCGATTTCACAGGAAGGAATTTGGGTGAGGTGTGACTCGTTTGTTGAGTTTTCGTTTGTTAATGTGGCACAAAAATGTTCGCTAAACAACTCTGCGATACTTTTAGTGTCTTCACACACCTGGTTGTCCTTAATAAATACGTACAGTCCCTTCGCTTTAGAGCATTTAAGTTTATTTCGAAGGAGTTAATTAGTGCAGAGGATTCATTGTTCAGCTGAACATCACGCTTTTCCTGTGCGATCGCCTTTTTAGTACGTGTTATTTCTGCCTCGACACATATTTCAGTCATCGTTACTAATGAGAAGAAGTTATTACACTTATGAATTCTGGAAGCACGTCTTCGAAGACGTTTTCGTATATGACCTGGCATATATAAGTCCTTAGGAATTCTGGGTCTCCAGGATTCTAAGGGTGCAAATTTGTTGAAAATGCTATTTGTGTTGTGATAAAATACATTTATTAGTTCATCAGTATTGTTTGCAGTGAAGTAGTTTGTCCAGTCAACGCTTCTGAGGCAGTTACGGAAGTTTGACCAACCAAACCTACGAAAGTCCATATGAAGTGTAGTGGATTTATATTTTATAGTTGTAGCTCCTATATCAAGGCTGCATATGACCATATTATGATCGCTACCAGGGAACTTTTTTCCAACATATGCAGTGTGAGGAATGAGATTGCTGGTGAAAACCAAATCCAATGTATTTTGATTTCTGGATGGGCCATTAACATGTTGAGTCCACTGTCCAAGCTCTAAGCACTCAATAAATGATTCGAATCGTTTAGGTGCTTTGATTGGGAACCAAGTGATTTCAGGCATGTTGAAGTCTCCACAAATAGCCTTGCTTGTGAAAGGTAGGGATGAAACAAATGTGAATACTTCTGACAATAATGCCAGATCTCCTGTTGCTGCATTAGGCGGATGGTAGACACTACCGAACAGCAAGGAAACTGCATCTGGGGGTTTCAGAACGATCCACACAAAATCTGGCAATCTGTTTAGTTCCGACATATCTCATAAGAGTGGGTTTAGGCTAGACTGTGCATATATGAGGCAGCCTCCACCTCACCCTTGTAACCTATCACTTCGAAACAGATCATAGTTCTCAAGAGATATAGTAAGATCAGAAATATTACTACCGGTCCATGCCTCAGTTATCATAATAAGTGATGGCTGGCAGATAGTAGCAAATATGACTAGATCTGTCTTTTTATTACAGATTGAACGAGCATTAATAAGACATATATTAAACAGATGTCCTGCTAAGCTAAAATAGTTTAGTGTATCTTGAGTAAAGGAGTTACTGTGACGTACGTGAGTGTGGTATGAGGAGTTAGGGGGGACATGTTAAATAAGTTGCCGAAACTTACAAGAGGGGTTGTTTACCCGGAGGAGAGATTGCGAACGTTGCCTGTTTGAGATTGTGCGAGGGGAGGGCTTTCGTACGCTGCATATGGCTTGGAATAACTTCAGCTATATGTCTCGCAAGAGGTACAACAAATGGCTGTATCGCACAATTGTGGGACGCACTCAAGCAATTTGTCGTTCAAACAGCCTGGATTGAAAATTCAGCTGTCCTTGGAAGACGCCGGTAGGGATCCACAGTTTAATTAAAAATTTGGAGTTCATAGACTAAAAAAGATCTACAGGATGGTTACCGTGATTATTTATTTCAAAGACATTGGCGAACAGCAAGTCTTTGTGCCTTCGGTGAACTTCGAACTGTATGTACAATGGATGGTAGATCTTTGAGGTATTCGAAACCGTGGTGTAGGTAAATATTCACGGTCATTTTACGCATTTCAAGGTTGACGTGCATGAAGTCAACAAACATTATGGTGACACGGCATACACGGCGTAACGTTCTATCAGTCATTCAGCCAGATGCAGCGTAGAACTTTGTACGTAAGTACATCAGTTCATGTTGCCATACTACATTAGCATAGACATGTAATTGTCAATTCAAATCCAATCATAGTAGAGGTAGTAAAGGGACTAGAAGTAATCGGAGAGGTTAGAATTAGAAGATATTATTCAAGAATTATGATTCAGTGAGATAAGTTTAAAAAGACAAAACTAGAGGTGTTGAAGAATCCATAAGATTATGATTTCAGAGAACACAAAGAAAAATTGCACCGGCGCCATTGCAAACGGTTTTGATTCATGTCGTGCAGGTTCTTTAACCATCGACTATTATCTTCTCGCGGACACCGACCAGGTAGAAGACAGCTACCAACATGACTCAGTCCACTTGTCAATGACTTCATGGATTTCTGCCATGTTTTGGTCTGGCCGCCCATAACTCTCATCCAACCTACTCCTACACTACAAAACAAAGCTCGTCGAGGCATTCGGTGGTTTAGCATACGCAGCACATGTCCCAACTACCTGAACTAATGAAGTTTCATTACCCCATCTATTGACTTGCTATCCTTACCTAGCAGCCGTTTCCTAATAACAGCGTTGCTCACTAGGGTGTCACAGGATATACGAGCAATGCTTCACAGACATTATGATCGAAAACCAGGAACCTGTGAACATCTACTCTCACTGACCATATTTCACAGCCTTGAAGTAAGACGGAGCAAACACTCTTCCTTTAGTCAGGAAACGGATATATCGCCTACGCCATAAGTGACGCAGGTTGGCAAAAGCTAATCGAGACTTCTGTATCCTTGCAAAGATTTCGTCAGTCACCAAAATATCAGCACTGATGAGACTCCCGAGATAAGTGAAGCGGTCTACATGCTCGATTACTTCCCTCCCTATCACTAGTTCGGGTGCCGACGCAACGCAATCTAAATTTTGCATTTCGAGGGGAAATACCGCATCCCGAACATGCTTGCATTGTTGCTTAGGATAGTCAGAAGACTCTACATTTTGTCAGCATCCTCTTTGGTGTCGGATGGACCATTCGTTGCCTTGGCTTCTGAACTTTCGTATTTTGGCTTCACAAGTTTGTACTGATGTTTATTCTATGTTGAGATTCCAGTATACGTTGTTATGTTACCTCATATCTACGAGTTTCGCTGTTGATATACTAAGTGAAGAGTTATCATACAGATAATTAACTAAAGATGGTGAAATTTGTTAATAAGGGGTATACAGTTCACAAGACAAAAGTGTGACTCTTTCAATAACCGAATCATCAGGCATAGGATTTACAGATTTTATCCTTTTGGGTGGTTAAGAAGTAGATGATAATTCCGTTTTACTCTGATTATCTGTCATAATGGAAAATTGAGCGTGATAATTGCTAGTCTAATTAACACAGAGTATAACAAGAGTATAACTTGTTGTGCATTAACCGGGTGAATACAAAAATCATTCAAGGTAAGGAGAGATTTTATGGACAAGATATTCAGTTATTAAGTGTAAGAACTGATGTCAGTAGATCAGTAGGTTTAAACTAGTGTATTGTGAAGTCAAGAATTATACCAAATAGTATATATTATTTCAGAATGCTAGTATTCGACAGGTATGCAATAACTGAAGGTTTGCATTTTAGCAGCAAATAGCACCGGATATAATAGATAGACAAACTGAATCAGTATAATATGCTATACATGAGAAATTTCCGAACAAAATAATAATAATAATTTATTCTCAAATGACAAGCATGTTACATGAGGCATGCCAATTTACAGGCAAGATCAAAATGTTAAGATTAGCAACATATTTCTTTTAAAACGGTATACAGTTACTGAAACATTTCACAAGATTCATTGTATTCTTAAAGATGGAATGTATAATGTGAATTATTGGCGCAAGTTACGAAGGTTGCGTTACGAAAATCATCTTATGGACTGAGATGATATAACAAGAATTGATGCGGTAAATGTACAAAGGTCTGGTTGATATTCATCAGCTAATGATTTCACATGTTCTTGGGTAGGGTAACCAAGCCTACTGCAAATATCCAGACTAATATATGAGGATTGGAATAAGGTTCTGAAAAAAAGAGGAATAAAGAAAACGGGACGAGGAGCGGAACAGAAAATATTCTTGTTCAAAGCCGAACAACGG